TGTGAAGACCTCTAACATTCTTCTTCACGAAAACTTTTGTGTCAAAGTTGCAGATTTCGGGCTTTCAAGACATTGTCCCACTGGTGCTACACATGTCTCCACTGCACCTCAAGGAACACCTGGATACGTCGACCCCGAGTATCACGAGTTCTACCATCTCACTGATAAAAGTGATGTTTACAGTTTCGGCGTTGTCCTTATTGAGCTCATATCCTCAATGCCCGCCGTGGATATAAGTCGGCATAGACATGAGATCAACCTGTCAAATTTGGCCATGAATAGGATAATCCGGCATGCGTTTCATGAGCTGATTGATCCATCTATGGGGTTTGAGACTGACGCTGAAATCATGAGGATGACTACTTCCGTGGCAGAGCTTGCTTTCCGGTGTCTGCAATCGGAAAAGGATATGCGGCCTGCGATGACTGATGTCCTGGAGATGTTGAAGGAAATTCAAGGCAGTGAGTTGAAAAACACAGTGGAGCAAGAGAGGGATAATGAGAATGATAGTGTGTCAGGTGGATCTACAATAGTCCCTTCTCCACCTGGATCAAACGGTGCATCTCTGCCGCTGTTAAAATTGCCAGTTTCGCCCATTTCTGTGACTGATAGTTGGGTAGTAAGTAGCTCTACTACAAGTAGCAGCAATAGTGAGTGATTCTTATCCCACCTGTCTTGCTTGATCAAGACATTTTTTTGTCTAGCCACACTCCCTCGCTTAATTTATTTGTATTTTAGGAGTGGGTCTGGTTGGTTATTTTGTGCTTTATGCCTAGTGTTTGTTTGCCTTGTACAGGTTCCACAGTTACAACAAAAAGGAAAGGACCATGCTACACTTACACCAAAAAATATACCCCATTTGTACACCACAGGTTTGCACAAACATTTCGATGGTTTACACCGACACAAGTGTTGGTGCGTTAATAACAATTCACACGGACACAAATGTTGGTGCGTTTAAAAAAAATTAGTTTTACACCAACACAAAGTGTTGGTGCAAAACTGCGGGGTACAAATTAGGGTACAAACTTTGGGGTACACATAGCATAATCCAAAAGGAAATGTACAGAGAAATAAATAGCTGCTTGCTAGAGTACTGCTAAACTTGGATTTATCTAGCTCTTATGTTTTTGATCAATGTACTATGACGCATAACTGTATTAGAACATGGCTTTTTAATGTTAGGTAAGATTAACCACTTTTTCATATAAAGTTTAGAACTACTGTCTAATCCAAAACCTTAAATCAATGGGTAGAGCTTTCCTTTTTTTTAAAAAAAATATGGAAGTGGTCTTTGTTTTAATTGTTTGATGTGGGGTGGACTCCCAACGATTGGAATGTGAGTTAGAATGATCAGTCCTTGAGCGCACGAAATGGCAATTCGATTGCGTTAATGATAAATAGGATTCGTGGCAATGTAGATTGCAACTTTTTTGTCATAATGAACTAGAAGAAGCTAGAACAATATTAGCACAAGATCAACAAAAAAGCATGATTGGGTATGGAATAAACTTTCCATTCCTAAGTTTTAATTAATTTTATGGCTTATCATGAGAAATAGAATCCAAACCAAGAAAAGATTGGCCAGATTTATGAATATTAGCACTAATTGTGCTCGGTGAGACAACGGAGAAGAAGACCACAACCATTTGCTTTGGGATTGCACTTATACTACTAAACCATTTGTGGATCTTGATGTACTTGACTAGTTTTTTGTTTATTTATACTTCTTCTCTCTCAAATTAATGTGTAAAACCCATGCTTTTTAATTTAATTTATTTATTAAGTCGTATAGAAATAGAAAATAGAACTTACATACTTCTTTCGTCCGCAAATAATCTTTCCATTCTACTTTTTCATCCCAACTCTTCCAAATATACTCTCAACCCATTACTCCATTTTCTTTCTCCCCATTCGGCCATTCCTTTTTCTCGACAAGGACTATTCAGTATTCATATTAAGGTAACGTTTGGCAACTAGCATTTCATTTCAATTCATGCATACCATAAGGAATTCAAGGATAGACATAGAAATTCAGATTTCTTTGCTTATGAATATCAACAGATGGCCAAGTGCAAGAAAGGGAGCTTTCGAAATTCAAGTGAGCCGCACGCACATAAGCAAGAGAAGGAAAAGATTTTCAATTAAAATTTCTTTCATTTTTTTTAAGATATATGGATCCACACAAGGAAGAAATTCAAATATATTTCGATATTGAAGACCACCCTACGCAAGGAAGGCAACCAAGTGAACATTTTTTTTAGAAATCATCCTAAATAGGACTAAAACATAGAGAAAAATACCAAAATAGGACTTTAATGTTTTTTTCCCAGAATAGGACTTTGCACTGTGGTAATGTGATTTTGCATTGTGGTAATGTGGCAGTGTACATGTGCAAATTAATATACTTTTTTGGTAATGTATATGACCATGTTTGGTAATATAAGTCCTATATTGAAAATAAAAACATGGAAGTCCTATTTTGGTATATTTTCAATGTTTTAGTCCTATTTTAGTCTTTCTCCCCCTTTTTTGTGATGATCACTGATCACACCTCACCAAAAAACTAAACTCAAGCCATCCACTAGCTTCACTTCATTCTTTTCTAAACTATTTTAATCTTATCAAGGATCATTCCTAAGTAATTAATTATTATTATTCTATCATTATTATCCTTAATTATCAGTGTATTATTATTACTAGCCATATATGGCGTGTAACTCCCTTTTCAAATATGTAACTCCTTATATTTAGGTAGATATTAGTGAAATTTGCACTAAATAGGACTAAAACATAATGACTTTTCTAATGTAGGACTTAAACTTTTTTATTCCCTAAATAGGACTTAATAATGACCTAGTGGAAAGAATAATGTCCAGCAATGATGCACATTTAGTTGAATAATGACTTCGTGATAATGACCAAAGGTCCTACATTGGGAAATAAAAACATATGGTCCTATATTGGGAAAGTCATTATGTTTTAGTCTTATTTAGGTAAATTCCTCTAGATATTATGGTGTATTTATTCCTTCTCTGTAATGGTTCCTATATTTGTGAGTACCATAGTCAAGGCTAAGTATCAATAAAATATCTTCAGTTATATTTTGTATATGGTATCAAAGCCGAAAGATTTTTTCTTTCCTTCCAGATCCAGCATTCTCGCTCTAAAATCTGGCACCAACTTCGGTCATCTCTCACAGCTGCCTTCAACTCCCTTCGTCGTCCTTCATGGCGTACACCATCACCAAGGATACTTTGGTTACTCAACTTCATAAAAAAACTCATTTTCACCAAGGATACTTTGGACAATAAATCCACCGAATGATCCGATTCACAAAGCGGATCGTAAGATAAAATCGAAAGCGAGAATTCGAGAATTGGGTGTGTATTATTAGCTTGATTTAGCTTGAGTTTTCCCCTTTCGGGTCTCCCCTATTTATACATGAACTCTCAGCAATTTAGGTAATGCATTATCGATGCAATCTAGCCCGCCAATGGCGCGATCCCTTTTTTTCGGCTCCGTAACGGCCAATCAGCTCCGTCTCCTTCTCCGGATTGACTCTGCCAGCTGCGCTTGGTTTGAGGTTAACTAGGCCCAGCTCCACGGGCCGGCCCAAGCTTGGGCATTTCACAGGTGCTTGGCCCGAAGCTGTATAAGTGGTTCATTTGGGCCGCCCACTGGATATCGGCCCATCATAAGCCCCCCAACTCCTCAGTCCTCAACTGGGCCAAGTGGAGGAATGGGGAGTTTGCAAAGTCCACGTGGGTGCTCCAGCGGGGATCCGGGCCGTTCCTTGGATTCCGCGTGACATCTGGGAACGATCTCCACAAATAGGTAATCATGGCCTGCCGGTTCGCCTTCCTATTGTCAGTTAAAAACCGCCGCAGGACGCCATTTCTTCCTTCCGCTTTCTTCACCATCATTCGTCTGTAATTCCGCTGCTACCCGACCCGTTCTTCTTCCTTTCCAGGTCAGTTCCTTTTCTCGCCGTCATGATTGTTTCAGATTCTGATTCGGCTACCCCATCGTCCAATTCTTGCCAAGCCGATCAATCGGCCTCTGGCCGCAACCCCGGCCACACTCAATCACTCCAGCCGTCACCGTCGGCCGTGTCTGGCCATAAACGGCGTCGATTGAGGAAGCAATTCCCTTCCTCAACCCCGGTAGACGAGGGCTCGAGGGTTGGATTGGACGAAAATATCATGGCGCTGTGCCATTGCCAGATTACTGACCGGGGGTTCGCCGATGCTACTGACATGGTCGGACCTTCCATTGAAGTCATGAGACCTACCAGCACCCAAACCGCCCTGGACGCCCCTTCAGGGTTCTTCACGGTCCATCTGGCGTCTTTGAAGAAGGGGCTGCGCTTCCCACTCCACCCGCTTTTGATCGAATTCCTCAATGTGGTGGACCTTCTCCCGTGTCAGTTGGTCCCCAACTCTCACCGGTACATCGCCGGTTATTTGGTTCGGTGCAAGGCTGTAGGGGTGAAACCGACTTTGGACCATTTCCTATTCACCTTTAAGCTGACCAAGGGCCATAAGGACTGGGCGTCCTATGCCAGCCTTTCCTAGAGGTCCAGCAAGCTATTTGCTAGCGACAAGAAGGGGTCGACCAAAGACTGGAAACCCTACTTCGTCTTTGTCTCGAGGGGGCCCGAATCTCCTTTCACAGGTTCAGGGCGCCCTTCCTTCCGCCGCATCCCATGCCCCCCATCTGATGCCACCCTTTTGTCCATTACTCGCCAACTTTGCAACAAGGGAGTCATGAACATCAAAGAGGTGGTGACAGAGGAAACCCTTGCCGGGTTGGGGTTTGAGTTTGTTCAGGATGAGCTTCGCCACCAACCCGACCTACTGAGGGACATTCCTGGGGGGCATCAGCCCGTACAGCTGAAGGACATTCCTGAGGAAGGTCTTGACTGTGGTCCTTTTGGTAATTGACCTTTCCTTTTGCCCAGATGTTTAGTTTATTATTTTTTTTTAAGGCTAACCATTTCCTTTGTTTCTAGTGGAATCACAAGATTCAGGAGAAGAGATGGACGGCGATCTCCTACTCAGTCGCTTCACTGCAGGGAGGAAGAGGAAGAGAGAGACGAAAGGCCAGGGCAAACGCCCTTCGTCCCACCAAGGGGAGGGTCCCTCCCAAGAGCCGGCTGTAATTGTAGTGGAGGACCAGGATGATGCTACCCTGGAAACGGGTACAGTGACTGGTCATTCCCCCCCCCCCACTCTGTGAAGCCGGGTGGCGACCTCGCTGGGTCGTCACTAGGTATTGCCTCGGAGCGACCTCCTTCGCCTCCCGCAGTGACCTACGAGGTGGCGACCGGGGGTCGCTCGACGAGGCTTTGCATTCCTCCTCTGCTCCAAAGCCTAGGGGACGTGCAACTGGAGACCCTGATCACCTTGCCCGCGGAGGATCAAGCTCGCATCTCGGCCGGTTCTGAGGACGACCTTGATAACATGGTCCTTTTGAGGCTAAGCCAGGTACTTGCGCTGATTCTATCTACACTCCTTTCCTTTTTTTTGTACATTCTTAACCCCCCTGCCTTGGCGCAGGCCACGCTGGGGATGATTGAGGTGGTCGGTAGGAGACGGGGTCACCAGGCTGCCTTGGGCGAGGCGTTGAAGACATCGGAGGCCAAGCAGAAGGAATTGCAGGAGGAGGTCGCCCGACTCACAAGAGAGCTGGGGGAGAAGGAAGATCGTTACGCGGCGCTTGCTGCAGAGAAAACTTCCCAGGAGAACCGCTGCGTCGCCCTTGAGGCAGACAAGGCCGCCTTGTCCTTGGAGGTAGGATCTGTTTCTGCTCGCGTGGTCGAGCTGGAGGGGGGAAAATCTGACTTGATTCAGCAGTTGGAAGGGGAGAGGAACGACCGGATCCGCTATGCAGAGGAAGCAGTAGAATCCTTCAAGTCTTCTCCTGACTTCACGATGGTCGCGATGGAGCGGATGGAAGAGCTTACAGCTGCTTGGCTCGAAACCGAGCCTGGGGCTCAGTGGATGGTCAGGGAGGGGACCAAATCCTTCAACTGTGGACTCTTCCGCGCCCAGCAGGTCTTCCGCGACAGACTGGCTCAGCTCCCCAAGGGATTCTCTCTTCCCGACCTTGGCTTCCCTCCTCCCTGCCGTTCCTTGGCCGAGTTTGACCCCAGTCCTTATCTGGACGGGGGGAGCTCGAGTGCGTCGGAAGAAGAGGAAGAAGAAGAAATGGAAGGCGGCCAGGGCGACCAAGATCAGAGGACCAGTTTAGCCTCATCCAAGGCGGGTGGAAATCCTAGCTCGAGCGCCTAACCTCCCCCGTTGTTCCCCCAGAGTTTTGTAAACACTTGTTGTTTTTTTTTTCCGAAATGACTCATCATTTTGATGCAATGTTCACATACTACTTGATTCGTTGGATCCACTATGTGCCTCCTCTTTTCGGCGTTTTACTCTCTTCTCTAGCTTAGCTGATTCGCATGTATGTTTTAGTTTGGGCCCAACTCCTAATTCCGGCCCGTTTATTTGTCCAGGCCCAATCTTAGGATTGGCCAACGTGCCGCCCAACTGACCCAATGCCTTTCACAATCTCTGATTGGACCTTCGCGCGGCTCAAAGCTGCTTTATCGGTCCAGCTGCCTTGAGACTTGACCGTCTCTTCGGTTCCTTTGCCTGGGCCTATTAATAAGCCCCCCTAACCTTCATTTTGTTCCATCGCCAAATATTTTCCCTTTCTTCATTATCGCCATGTTTGAAGGAATTCCTGTTTCTCTGAACCTTTCCGACGGGCCGGCTCCTTCTTCGCCAGAGCCTGCCTCCTCCCCCAGGTCAGTCAATTCTAATGACTGGGGGGGGGGCTAGACCCTTACGAATTCTGTCGCCGGTTGCCTCGCCGACAGTGGCCGTCGGTAAAACCGCCGCCACTACCACCAAACCCTTATGAAGACTTCAGTGAGGCGTACAAGGCCCTCTCTGCCAACCGCCTGCCTAACGGGCGGATTGATTGGGATGCTCCATGCCCCCTCCATTCCCTGCAATGCATGGCCTGGGAGAGCTTTCATGATGAGCACTTACCCCTCCTGGAGCATGAGTGCGCGTACTACGCAAGTCTTGAACAATGGACTAGCGAAAGTCGCACCAACTCGCCGGTGAGGCCTAAGGATGAGGTTGTGTTGGGGGAAGAACTGGGTTCCAGCCCACCTCGCCCCACCAACCGCTCAACTCCCTGGAAAACCCGTAGGCGACCTGGAGTAGATCGGTTGGCTTCAGGATCTCCATCCTCATCTAGGTGATGCGGCTTCAGGATCTCCATCCTCATCTAGGTGATGCTGGTTGGGGTTCTGGAAGAAGTGAACCGCCCTCCGTCCTTCCTTGGTATTTGAAGGACGGTGGGTTTTTGCCAAGGCTGGGGGCGACCGATCCTGTTCCATGTTGGGGAAGAAAGGTGGTCGTCCTGGACGGCCGGTGATCGGAGTTCCGCCAGCCTATGTAGCTGTAGAATTACCCTTCAAACCTGCCTGTCCCCCCTAGGCCTTTTGCTCGCAAAGTTTTAGATTGTTCTTTTTCATTGTAAGAAAAGTATGGAAAAGTATCCCTCCTTTTGAAGATATAGAGACTGTTTCCAACTGTATTGTGGTGTGTTGGACATGAGTTCAAACCCCTTTATTATTCTTGGATTATTTTTTGTTTTGATAAATGACAAACAGGATGATTAAGTTCAATCTACAATCGAAAATTTATTTTTCGTACCGAGAAAAGCAAAGAAGGGTATCAAGAAGTTTCAGCGATAAAATTGAACGCTCAACCCTACGCAGATTTTTTGAAGTGAAGTGAAGACTCCGAAGACTTTTTATTTTTATTGAGTCTAGGAATTCTTGTAAGGATGACAATAACTTTTGCATAAACAATTAATCTTGAGGGATAAAAATTATTAAATTTTTGAGTCAGTTGAAAAATTATTTTTTCTCTAAAAATATTTTACCAAGTCAGTTTCAAAATAGTGTGTCAAAAGCTCTTAAAAACATTTTAAGGATATACAAATTTTTTTGGTAAGAAAAATTTACTTTAAATATTTTTCGTGTATTGTTTGACACACAAAATAATTTTTGGACTCTTTTTTTTCTCCCCTACTCAAAATTCAAAATTCATTGAATAGGGAGATATTATCCGAGGAGAGTCCCTTGTTTTCTCGTTGTCCCAAACAACGAGTTAGAAGCCAAACTGCTTCCAATCGCACTTGGCTTGGGCCCTTTGTGTTTGCGCATTATTTTCATTTTAATCGATTATATCATTTAAGATAATCGATTAGATCCAGCGCAATTTTTCAGGTTTCAACTCTTAATCGATTATTTCTTCTAAGAAAATCGATTAGTTCGTACCGAACCTCCTAATCGATTTATTGCTTCACCTTAATCGATTTATGAGCTGTTCGTTGGGCTGCTCAACTTTGATCGATAATCGATTATTTCTCCTTCTTTAATCGATTAGTTTGTACCGAGCCTCCTAATCGATTACTTGTCTTCATTTAATCGATTATGAGTCAGTTTTCTTTTCAGGCTATTTCGCTTCTGTGTACCGTAATCGATTTAAACTTTTACTTTAATCGATTAATTTTATCTGGTGCATATTCTCAGCTGCTCCAACGGATTTATTTTCACTCAGCCTATTTAATCCCTCATTCTCCTTCTTTTCCATACTACTCTCTTGCACTCCAAATACTCATTGAGCCATTGTCATCCCTTGCTTCATCTTCCTCATCAAAACATTATTTTTGAGAGTTAGAAATATTTTCTTTGAGTGCTAAAGAAGTTGTCATCCATAGAGCGTTAATTCTTCAAACACTACTTTGCTCAATTGTGTGAGCTTTCATTCTTGTGTTGTAAACTCAATCTCATTTGAGTGTTGTTCATAAGACTTGTGTGACTCAAGTCTTGTTGTTGTAAGAAAGTGAGGCTTGTGTGATTCAAGTTCTCAAGTTGTACCGGTTTTTCAAGCATCCGTTGAAGCTTGAAGATTAGTAGGACTTTCGAGAGAGTCTCTCGGAGGACTGGACTAGCCACGAGGTGGTGAACCAGTATAAATCCCGGTGTTCTTCTTTCCCTTACTCTCTTTACTTATTCCTGCAATTTTTTATTTCACACACGCGAAAAACGCACATTCTTGAAAACAACTCTATTCACCCCCCCCCCTCTAGAGTTGCACATTTGTCTAACAATTGGTATCAGAGCAGGAAGTTCTTCGAATACGTTATTTTTCAGGAACTAAAAGATCAAATGGCATCAAGGATGTTCAACGCAGGAGTGACCGAGGGACAATCAACCACGAGGCCACCTTTGTTCGATGGAACAAACTACTCGTATTGGAAGGAGAGGATGAAAATCTTTATCCAATCCAACGACTACAAGCTGTGGTTGATTGTGAAAAACGGCTGCGGAGTCCCGATGAAGAAAGTTGGTGAAGTCGACGTCCCCAAAACCGAAGAGGAGTTCACCGACGAAGATTGCAAAAAGATGGAGCTCAACGCAAAGGCAATAAACATGATTTATTGCGGTGTTAATGCGGATGACTACCGTAAAATCTCGCGGTGTGAAACCGCAAAACAAATGTGGGAGAAATTGGAGGTCACCTATGAAGGAACCGCGCAGGTTCGGGAGGCCAAAATCGACCATCTTACTCACGAGTACGAACTCTTCTCAATGAAGGAAAACGAGAAGATTGAAGAAATGTTTGAGAGGTTCTCTAACATCATCAATCCTCTCAATCTTCTCGGGAAGACCTACACCGACCGAGAACTCGTGAGAAAGGTGTTGCGAAGCCTATCCCCCAAATGGTGTTCAAAGGTGGACGCAATCGAAGAAGGTCGTGACTTCCAAACAACGACCTATGATGCTCTTCGAGGTAATCTTATTACCTACGAAACCACCCAACTCTCAAAGGTGGTTGAAGAGAGGAACAAGAGGTCTATTGCTCTACCCGCAACAACGTCAACACACAACAACATTGATGATGAAGATGATGACAGCGACGACACCGACCTCGGACTCTTTGTCCGAAAATTCAAGAAGATGATGCTCAAGAAGGGAGCCAAGAAAAACACTCCACCCAAGTGCTATGGGTGTGGTGAAATTGGGCACATCAAACCAATGTGTCCGAAGCTCAAAAATGAGAAAGACAAGAAGGCACCGAAGAAGCAACGTGC